ATTTATTTATTTATGCCTCCCTTCCTTGCCTTTCGGCTACACGGGATTTTGCAGGGATGGCATATCACAACCCTGCATGCCATTTCTGATATTAAACCACTAATTAATTGTCAATTATTTTTATTTTTTTAATTTTTTAAAATATCTTCTTTTTTCATTATTTTCACCATATTGGACAGGCGGCCTTCCATTAGCAGATCCTCTTCTTCCCAGATTAAAGTGGGAGGGCCCCAGAGTAGCTTTCCACCCGTACACAAAATCTTTGTAATACGGGTAGTTTTGCTCCGACACTAACTCGGGAAATTCATCCGGCCATAGACTCCAATTTTTCTTATCATTTCGGTCCTTAGTCCATCAAAGGCGGTGCAGTTGACGCCATAGAGGATCTATGTCTTTTCCAAAACTTTGTAACTTAGAGGGGAAACCCCCATGCCCAGTAAGGAATTGAGAGACCCAGTAGTCCGGGAGAACCCACTTAGCTTTCAAGCGACTTCGAACGGTGGGGAAATATTTTCTTAAAGTTGCTCCTTTCAAGGTAGTTACCCACCGCCGTTTCCACTCATCTATGGTATCCTCCCGGATAATCGGCTTCCATTTTCTTGGGTATTCTGCAATCCCCACCCGGATATTCTCCTCAAGACCTGCTAAGCCTTCTCTTTTTAACTTAAATATCTGCGAGTCTTCTCGCAAGAAAAGGTCGAGAGGTACCCCTCCTGCTAAGATCTGCACCGCCTCTTGAGACACACTTCGGTATGATTTTGTGACACGCAACAGAGCCATATGTTGAATTGTCGCCAATCTGCGTTTCTGACGGTGTGAGAGATTCTGAGACCACGCAGGAGAGGCGTACTTCAGAATACCCACTATCATTCCATCGTAGATGATCCTCGTAGGTATCTCAGGTCCCAAAATGAACCCCCTAGGTGACTAAGTCCATTCAAGGCTAGTGCTACCCTATTTCCTAAGTAGTCCAAGTGAGGGTTCATATTAAATCCTCTTCCAAACCTTATGCCAAGATAGGTGACCACCTCACTCGGATTTACTCTCGTTCTCTGTATACATAGATTGATAGGGTGTGCCCTATCCGTCTTCCTCCTCAGCAAGATCGCCTGGGTCTTTGATGCGGCCATTCGTAACTTCATCCTCTCACACCATTGCCCGACCAGATTGACGCACCGCTCTGACTGTAGCTTTATTCCGGCTCTGCTGTTTGACGCTACTACTGCCGCCAAGTCATCGACGTAAGATGTAGCAGGGAACCGCTCATCTTCGAACACACCCAGCAACTCATCAAATACTAGCTTCCATAGAGTCGGACCAAGGACTGATCCGTGAGGGCATCCCCTCTCTATGGAACCTTCAGTTTAGATTGTTAGTTTAGATCAGTTTATAGATTGCTGGGGCCCTCGTTCTTCTGTAGCTACTGAAGTGCTCGCGGCCACCAGACATTATCGAAGGCGAAGGGTATGTCAAAAAGCAGCAACATGACATACCGCTCGGCCTTCTGTTCAACGTGCGCTTGTACTCGATGCAGGGCATTAGCGGTTCCCTTTCCCTTGGTAAAACCGTATTGCCGCTGATGGCTAGCTCTTGTGAGAACTGGTCGTACGCTGGTTAAGATGAGATTCTCCAGGACCTTGCTCATTATGGAGAGGAGACGTGTAGGTCTATATGAATTTGGGAGCTGCTTATCCCTGCCTCCTCCCTTGTAGAGGAGTCTCAAATCGGCGATCTTCCACATTTTTGGAAAGTATTCCCGATCCAGACAATCATTGAAAATCCTCAATAATCACTCATCGATGTAGGGGATACTGTTCTTCAAGATCGCCGCATATATTGAATACGCAAACTATTTTTTCTAATAAATTTGTTCAATTTCATTTGCACACTGTTTAATATAATAATGGAATTATATTTAAACCTTAGCACTGCCCATTACCCTTATACGCTATATAGTTTGAAGTCAGTTGTCGTAAGGAATTCATTTATCTCCAGAGTTCTAAGTCTCCGTTATTCTCCGTTGTATGTTATCTTTCGCGAAGTGCGGACAGAGTTTATTCTCATTTTGATGTCATCAGGTGTTTGGAGAAACCTTTTCATAGAATATAACCAGCCACTCATACAGACATCTCTTTAAAGGTAAATTTTCATGGCTGAGTGAGGTATTTTTCTTTTATTACATTTCTTTAATCTAAAACAGCCTTTATCTGTTTACTGTTGTCGTAAAAAGCCTTTTATATACATTCAATAGACTGACTAATGCAATTTTCTTTATACTTCAGAAAAGTAATAAAGAATTTTTTTCTATTTATTTATTTATTTTTTTGTCCCACTTCAGAAATGTTACCTCCATTATCTCCACGGGTGGGCAAATGTTGACACATTAATTGGAATTCTGAGAATGGCATTCATAGCTTGTCCACTAGTATCAATTCCCTTAATTTGTATCTTGATTTATGACTTCTGAAAACTCCTAACTGGCCTTTCAAGTTAAAATCAGTGCCTTACCCACCTTTAAGTACATTCTTGTTTTCGATTTCTACTAGCTCAAAGGGAAACACGAACCACCGAATCCTTTTCAGTTGAGGTCAGGAATCGGCCAGGCAGTTCGGTCATCCCAGTCTACTTTCGGACACACTCGGCCATTTTCGGAATTAAATTTATAAGGTACACATGAAATGCTCATCTACCGAAATGTAGTAAAATATAGTGGTAAAGTTGTATTATATATATATATATATATATATATATATATATATATATATATATATATATATATATATATTATGTTTTGTCATTTCAGAAGACAAAAGATGAGAGTATCAGATGTTATTTCATCGAGAACAAAAAATATATTTTCTTAATTTCGCATTTGTTGTAATTGTTGTGGAATTTTTAAATAAATATTTTAGTTCTTTGGAAGCTTTAATAATCGTTGGTATATGATTTAACTTAATGTATTAATATAATTATTTATATTATTGGCAAGAAAAACTTTCATACATAACAAATTGTTTATTTGCTATCATTTACATTAAGACACAACGTTAACTTATAGTAAATTATAGAAAATACACAATCTGTTGCATATTGGAAGTTCTATTGCCAACAGTATACTAAATTAAATAGTTTTCTAACAAAATAATAAAAGAAATAAATCTATAATTATAATGCAAAGATAGACTATATTTGTACGAGATTCTTCCCTCAAAAGAAATAAAGATTAAAATTATAAATATACAGTTTACTCTTATTATATTTAGTTTTTGTTTATAAATATGTTACTTTATTTTATATAATTTATTATTTATGGCTTGGTAAATGTATTTATATGTTTATGAAAGTCATTGTCTTATAGATGATTGTTCCTCACACCTTCAATATTGTTATCATTTTTCTTCCAGACTTACTTTAAATGAAATAGATGATTTAAATAATAACTACTTGCTATACTTATTTTACATATATATTTTTTTAATACTTATTATTAGGGTTAATAAGTAACTAGTGTTCGTTGATCATCCAAAAATCGAAACTTGACCATAATCGTTATTAAAATAAATTTGCATGTTTCCAAAAATTTGTTTCTACTTTTACACCATTTGTGTACTTTTTGAGTTTATTCCCTAATAAAATCTAAATCCATCGTTATTTTCTCCAAAAAATTTTTGAATCCACTTTGTTCCTTCGGTCGGTACTAATAGTTTCATTTAAATATTGTACTTATAATATAGCAATATGCCAATTTAAAAAAAAGGTGCTATAAGAATATTTTATTGGACATGATTCTTTGATTTTTTTTCATTTTGCAGGGAATTCAATAACTTTTCAGGTTTCATTAACCAAAATTATGTACTTTTATAGTTATTTACAAATAGAGTTCTGAAGTCAACGGTTGTTAAAGGCAAATATTTTAATTCAAGTTTTGTATTAGGAACAAAAAGTTATTGCTTAGAGATAGCCGAGTGAGTAAGGAACTGTGCTACAGTCTCTGGGCACAAGGTCCCAGCTTCGAGTCATGTTACATTTTGATGAAGAATTGTCAATAAATATGTTTGAAGGTTGCAATTCGTGAATTAAGGATAGTAAAGTTATTTAATTAATATCAAATAGGATTTGTAATTTGAATTATTAAGAATATATGACTAGATCATTTTTGAAAATAAATTTAAAGTAAAAGCTATATTTATAAATAAAATGATGCTTACCGAATCCTAATATCTTTGAAGTTGTTCCGTAAATAGGTTTTGAACAAACCATTCCTTTGTGGTTATAAAGCTTTTACCTTCTATGATGTATTATCGATTTCAATTTAAGAAGATTGCCATTATTTTCCAAATTGCCAAAGTTATCACAGGGCTGCTACCCACTCTCCAGACTTTCCTTAATATAAAACAGTTTCCTCTTCGAGTGAACCGTTTCCTCTTGAGATGAAAATCCGCTTTGTTCCTTCAAGTACACGTTGATACCATCCAAAGGGTTTCATAAGAAGCTGTTGAAGATTCCGTTTTTATTCCAAATTGTTCCTTATATAGTGTAATGAGAAATCTCATTTTTTTTTTTAAATACAGCTACATTTGTCCAATTATGTTTTATCAACAATTATAAAATACATAATTATAACATTAACCATATATCGAAAAGAATTCACACAAACAATAAATAAAAAAAATTGTATCATTCATAGAGCTAAAATCTATCAAAATTACTTGCAGAGAGAGAGTTACAACGAAAATATTTAGAACCGATAATATTTGTTGAAATTCGTATAAAACAAAAAAGAAATGAAATTATGGTCACCTCTGAGGTCATTAAAGTGTTAAGTATCAAAACCGACATTCGTCACTTCTTTTTCGTTTGGTAAGACATTCAACAAGTATTATCGCTTCTGAGAGCCGAAAAAGAGATCTCTAGAACCGTCTGGACAATGTTTCTAGATGTAGACTACACTGAATAATTTCACCTCATTCCAATTCAAATGCAACCTAACTCTTTTTCAGAATCTCCTTGAAATCGTCCATGATCTTTTTGAAGAACAGACATCATTAGAGAAAGTCATACTCAAGATCATGCAAAGAGCTCAGAGGCTGCTCAAGTGTGAGAGGGCTGCCGTACTTCTAGTTGATGAACAGGCCTCCACGATAGAGGTAAGATTTATTACAGTTTACAGGAAGGTAGTGTTGCCCAAATGCGAGATCAAGACGAGTCTTGGTCTTGCACACAACGTCTTCTTCTTGGTGTTGGTCTTGGAAAATCTCGCAAAAGTCTTGCAGTTAACTATTATCTTATTAATATAGAGAGATTACAGTGATTTTTAAATTGAAGAAAGCTATGTAAGCCCGAATGAAAAATTAGAAGAGTTAAATGCAAAAATATATTGGTAATAACAATTCTTTACATATAGTACCTAAAATTGTCAAGTATGAGTTACTATTTTGCCTTAATTTTTATTCCGAAAATACATTTTTTTTGGAATAAAAATCGTGCGGTCGTGGTCTTGGTCTTGCACTATGCAAGACCAAGACCGATTTTGGGCAACACTACAGGCAGGTCATTGGTTTATTACATTTTAATATAAATTAAAACTTTTTAAATTAATGTACTTCGACTACCTTAAGCTAAAACTTCCTCTAATTTGAAAAGGGGGTTATTACGATGTATTGTAATGCAAGAGTTTACCATAGATGGTGTTGTTACAAACTATGGTGCGATTGTTGAAACTTGTCATCGAGTTGAAGCTAATGCTTGACCTCACAACTGACGTTTTCATACTAACTATCTGGGCTGTTGGAAAGTTATAAATGAGTTTACCAATGTAACATGAACAATTATTAGGTTCTCATACTTTAACATAAAGTATGATATTTATGACGACAGATAAATTTCTATTTTTATTAGTCATATGCGATATAAAAAGACAATTCAAATAAGAAACTACATATAAATTTGGAGGTTTTAGAAATCTTATAAAGTATTTGTAATTAAATTATTATATAAGATTTTGTTATTTCTTTATTTACCAAATGTTTCTCTAGTCGTTAGGGTCATTGGCAATTCTTTCTTCACTCAGATTTTCGATATTCTATTGTAGTATATAGTTTTTTACTTTCACTTAGGTATATATGTAATATATAGTAATTACTTTCACTTACGTATAAATGTAATATATAGTAATTACTTTCACTTACGTATATATGTAATATACAGCAAGGGTTAGTATTGCAATCGTGAATATTTTCGAATTTCTTCTTTCAACGGAAATACATGTTTTGAGGTCCTCTGAGTCCAAATAACCAAGTGTCGCAAAATGGTACAATACTCCAAAAAATATAATACTCCAACATTGCCAGAAAATAAATTCTATTCAAAGTAGATCGGTAAGGGAAAGTTGTGTGTTGCGCGCACCAGATTTTTTTTTTAAGTCTTCAGGATTTGCACATCTCTCTCCGTATTCTGTAACATTCCCTGGACAGTTCTGTGCATATTAAGGTTATTCATTGTAGATGCATAGTGTTTAAATAAATATATGGTTCAGAGTTCTAGGGAAAGCACACCTGATGCAGGTAGATAATTTTCGACCGTGGAGTAGGCAGCTGAGCAAAAATTCACTGTGGCCAATCAGATGGCGGCTCAGGATTATTTCTTCTTTTCTTGGTTTCCTGTTACTAATGCACCATTTAGTGCTGTTCTTTTATCTGGACTAGTTTGGAGGGGTTTCTTCTCCAGGTCTCATTCCATTAAGCTATTATCTGGGATTTCGCTTGCCTCACCCTATCGAGGACCATAATTAATGAATTTCACCTCATTATTTTCATTAATTACAACCTCAATTGTTAAATCATTAAAATGTTTATTTTGTGTTATTTCTTCAAAAATAAATTTATGACATATTAAGGTTCTCACACAAAAACGTAGTTGATTGTTAAGAAAGTTAGTACTCGCTAGTATATGACATAACAGATAGCTTCTTTTGTTTGAAACTGATAACCACGAAAACTAATGATCCGATTTCTTCAAGATACAAAATATTATCTAGCTTGAGATATATATGTGGTCTACCAAATCAAGGCAATGGCATTTTTAAAGGAATATTTTGTTGTACTTGTGTAAAACAAGGAATGCCATATAAATATTTCATGGATGATTAAAACATATCGTCGGCACAATGTTAATGTAACGGATATGAGTCTTTCCAACGTTGCACTTTCAGTACTTTGGCTTGGTGCCGACCATATGTCTATAACCTCAAATTTACTGTAGTCCAATAACTTGATATCCGATATTATATTTAAATAATTAACTATATATCGTTCGTTTATTCCGAAAAATCAATATGTAACATTATGGAGATTAAATTAGTAAATAGTTTGATGAATTTTCCTATCGAATCACTACAATATCCGCTTACAATTAGTGTGGCAGCGTTTAATCCTATCAATGGTTGGTAATGAAAACCTCCTAAATATATTTTAATAATTTTTCGGGATAAAACATTAATAAATTGCAAAATTATATTCAGAGTTTCGATATACAGTTTTACATTGTAGTACAATTTTAACTCATTTATAGATTAAATATATAAATGTATTTTCAAACCTCTTCTTGTATACAGAGCTCAGAGACTGGACTTATGAGTCTATCTAAAAAGACAGATGAGTTATGAGGTTTTTAATAGTCTACCGTCTATAAGATAGATAGGTTTTGTGTTATTTTAATGGTGTTTATGAGTTTTTACAAGTTAGTTGTAAGATTTAATGTATAGCTCCGTCAAAAATACACTTTAAAACCGTGTAACCACCCCTAACTTTGCCAGAAAATAATTTATTTTTAAAGTATAGTGGTAAGTGAAAGTTGTCTGAACACCAGAGTTTTAAATCATAGTAAAAGAATAATTTTGATTTATAATCCTTTTCACCGCCAGTGATAATTTATTTCATTAAAATCTGATTAATAGAGAAATGACTATTACAAAGTAAAGAATAAATGTATTATCAACTTCTCCTTTTGATTCACGATTTGAATTAAATATTCAATGCTTAGTCATGACAATCTGCTGGAGAGTGGATGACCGCCTAACATTTTTATGAATCGCCGGTCATGTCCCTGGCAACATCTGTCTGAAACAGATGTCATACGCCTAGTGCTCCCCATCCTCAATAATATACTGCTTCTACTCCAACCGCCGTATACATAATCTTAAATACGTTTAAATCTTATAAATAAATTGCTTTAAACTTATTTAATGCTATGATGAACAAAAAATAAAGAGATTTGTTTTTATCATTAACAGAATATGGAAAAGCACCATGTTCCGTGAAATATTTGGCACAAACTTTAGAATACTAAAAATTTCGAATCTTTTATTAATTGCCCTCTCCCTTCCTCGTCTTTTGACAATACGAAATTCAATTTTATTGTATACAGCAACAACATTTAAACCTTTTCTGGTACTATTCCTCTTTCATTTCTAACCTGGAGTCACTCCGTGTGATTGTGATTGTGGTCTCCGTCTTTCTTCTATAAACATTGAAACGTATCACTTTCTTACACCCATACACGAATGCCTCGTAGAATTGGTAGTTATCTGCAAAACTAGCTGGGTAGAGGATTTAGTTGTTTTGTTTTTTTTGGCGGGGAGGGGAGAAGAAGTGAGGGCTTCAGCCCGAAAAATTTTTTTACATATACATAACGAAATTTAGTTTGGAAAAAAAAGAAAGATACTAACTACCTTTATGAAATGGTGCTTAAGTGTTTCTTTAAGTCCTATTAAATGTAATTACACGATCAATAATACTTTAAAAGATAAGATTTTACTATTTTGGAGAGGAGGGCTTCATCCCGAAATTCCCCCCCGTAAATCTGCCTGTGATCTGCAGCTACGAGAAGTGGTAAATCTCCCTCGTTGATGATGTAGATACATGTGCTCATTAGGTTGGCCCTCATTTCGTCAAACGCAGTGCATTTGATGATCACATATTCTGCAGTTTCCAGGACACCACAATTGGAGCATAGGAGATCGATATCTTGTCCAAGGCTTTGTAACTGTTAAAGAAATGATCTGAGAAGATTGACTGAGATGCTCTCTTTCTGACCATGGTACAATTGTTTTGACACGATTTTCAAACAAAGAAGAGAGTTCTTATCCGTGCATGTTTAAAAACACAAAGAGTGGGGAATACATCTTATTAACGTTTTGAGGGATCCTCTAAGCTTTGTGCAGTCCTTCCAGAATTAGTGGTAGGGTATTCGTCCTGAAATCCATATTTAATGTTGATACCGTTAATGGGATTCAGGTCTGGAGAGCAAGCAGATTAATCCAGTCAGCGAATTTCTTGATTTTGAAAGAATATATGCGGTCTAGCGTTAACATTCACAAAAACGAATACAAGGCCAATTGTTTCTGTCATAAATTTCACTATTAGTGCAAACACCCTATATAAGGAACGCTGAGCAGTCATAATCTCAATTCGTAACTGCGCGACCTTTGTATGAGAGCCCGTGTAAATACTACCCCACACTGTAATTGAGATTAATCCAAACGAGTAAACTTGCAAGACAAGAGGATTGTATCGCTCACCAGACCTTCGGTTAATTCTTCCTAGTAGTTTGAATCGTGGTGCAGTATCACTTTAGACCCATCTATGAAAAGCAATTAACCCCTGAGCGATAAGTCCATGATATGTGAATCCAAGTGAAATGGAGTCATTGAATCATATTCTGTTTCATGAGCCGCAGGGCCACTCTGGGATAGCGTGACCCTCCTGAGACACGTCCAGCCTCTATAAAGTGGGTATATTTAATTAAATAATTAAAGGAGAAAATCTGGTGATTGAATATGGTGATTACAGGAGAGAGTTGGACTATGAAAATGTCTAAGTTTTTAACTGAATTGTTAAGGTGAAGGGATGGTCATTTATGTGCAGAATAGAAATGTTGGAATTGGATCTGAGAAGCTTGAGATTTGGCAGAGTTTAACCTTAATCTATTTACTCCATGCACTGATCCGATTTAGGTCTTCTTGATTTTTTATAAATGCATCATACAACTCAGAGGAAGAGAAGGAAAGGTAAATTTGGAAAGCATCGGCAAAGAGGTGATGGAAACATTTAAGGATTAATTTATGAAGTACCTTGATTTAAGAACTAAA